GTATTATGTTATTCAACATGTGCCAGGAAAATAATCAACAGCATGTTTTCCCTCTCTTTATATAGAAAGGGGGTGGTGAGGGAAATCCTCTCTTTTCAGCTGTAAAGAGACAATCAAGATAAAATTCTATAAGATGTTCTTTTATTCATATGAGTGATAAATCTTAAAGCTAGATTTATCTTCCATCTTCATTCTATGCTCTTGATACTTAGTTTGGAGAGAGAGTTCAGGAAGTTCTGTTTAGAACCAATTTTACTTAGTTTTCCTATATTAGCACCAAGCCACAAGTTGCAAGTTTTGGTCCTGTATTTGAATCTGAACCAAACCAGTGTCATTAAACTTCTCCAGGCATTCCACACAAAGGAAAACCTCTACAGATCTTCTAATCTGTGCTTGGGGAAAAGGAAAAAGCCCCAACAGAATCCAGAACCCAAGCTCTCTGTGAACATGTTTACAAGTTGTATCAGTATTAGTAAAGCAACTTCAAAAATGAAATGTTTTTATAAGTAGTTCAGTTTTTGCAGGTAGCTCTTGTTTTACCGTACCAGCTTTAATTCCTCTATCATAGGGACCCAGCTTTGGACTTTTAAAAGACTTCTGGATTAGGTCAGGTAATTTACTTGCAAAGTCAGTTAAAACACACCCCAGGCAATTCTGGAAAACAGGAGATGGCTGGAAACAATGTGCTCTGGTCTTCATCACAGGATGTCAAACTGGGATTTGCTAAGTAAAGCTGAGAAATTGTGGCAGGCATTTCTCCTATTTGTGACAAATCTAGCACTGCTCAATCCGAGCACCCTCTAATGGTCCATCATTTTCCCTTTATCTAGGTCAATTTTGCATTCACAGAGCCCCAGAAGAAATTTATTTGTAAGCCCTGTTGCAGTTGTGTTTCTGACATACTTGAAAGCCTAAATTTTGCTAGTAACATGAGAATGTAAAGCCATGTTCTGCTCAGCCACTTTAATGGCAAAGGTAATTAGAAAAATACTGTTTTTTCTCAGGTGTACTTATTTCAAGCAATTTTAATATAACTTTAGCATCCTTTGAGCATTCCTTCCACTTCCAACCTCATTTTCACACAACCAGAAACCACCTTGATCTCACCTAGTGTTTTTTTTTAACCCCAAACCAAATAAATAGCAAGAGGATTGCTGTAAGCGATGAATACATATTCTCATCCATCAACTGGAGAGACATTTTATCTGCTAAGATTCTTGACCTGAGGTTTGCTTTCTCCACTCAAGACACTGAAGTGGAAATGTATGTGCAGAAGGATGGATTGTGGCAGCATTCATTTTGAGGATTGCCTTTCTCCAGAGATATTCCCAGTGACATTAGCGACGTTTCTTTCATTGTCAAGTTATAACCTTAGCACACTGGTATTGTAGAATCTGAGCCCATCTTTCAACATTATTGCTTCATCTAAGGTTATTGTTAACTTTACTTCCCACTTGCATGGTGTAATACAGGATTTGCTCTCACTTGCAAGCCAACCAGCCTCAGCAGAGTCTCTGAGTCTGCCCAGCACTGCTTCATATATAGCTGCTTATCACCAGCAATGCCATATATTTGACACCTAGGGCCTAATAACCAGTGACCTGTTAGTTCAGCTTTCCAGTATGGCATGTAAAAAGAGATTTGATTTTTCCTGAGTCCATGGAGGGGAAATAATTGCAGGAAAGCATCCCTCCCTGCTCTCCTCCCATCCCAACACACACATTCTTCATTTGGGCCCAAGCAGATGAATAACTTGACTGAAATAAGCAGGTTTTGCACACAGGGCAGAGTTGAATCAGGGCAAATACACGTGATTGTTTATAGTATCTCAACAGCACCCACTGAATTCTTGAAAGCCCTTGGGTCAGTCTCTGCCTTGTACAACAAATACAAATGATGAGAGATGAGGGACACAAAATAAAGTGTCAGCAGTACTCGGTGCTTATGTTGGCCTGTGATAATAGAAGAAAAAGGAGGTTTTGGTGGGGTTGTCTCTTGTTGTTTGTTTGGTTTTTATGTTTTGGATTTTAAGTGTAAGAAATGGTATAGAGACGAAATCAAGACCAAAATAATCACTGCATTTTCTCACACATACACCATTTCTTTCCGTTGTCACAGAATAATATTTTAGGGTTTTGTAGTTATAATGAAACCTCTGCATTTTTTATGTAAAAGTGCCTCCCTCTTGTAAGAATTAAATAAAGCCACATTTGCAAGTTTCTTTTTATTTTAGGTTGTATTTGCATATCTCTGTTCATTTTTACTGTGCAAGACTTGTCCTAGTGGAAAATGGCTTACTCAAGAGATTGTGATAATCCAGCAAAGAAATGAATTGGCTCAAATTAATATGCTATCCAAATAGGGATCCATATTCTCTAGATAAATTTGTACATTTAGTAATTGTTAATATTGCCTAAGGAAATTAAGCTTTGCTTAAAACTACATGGGGAAGAAAGACGATCAGTGAAAGCTACCGATTCTCATCTTTTCTCCTTCATTGGATGTATTTCTTTGTATTTTTAGACATAATAATTTTAGCAAGGGCTGTTCAGTGTTCATACAGAACAGCTGGGCCTGCTCTGTACTTTTCCATCTCCTGTGCACTATGTGCTACAAATCAGCATGTCCTGATTTCCTTGAAAATGAAATCTAGCAATGGAATTGGTTACTATTTATGCTAGAGCAGCTTCCTGCTTAAGTGCCTGATCTGCCTTGACTTTACATACTTTAATGCCTGCATGTCTCCTGGTACATTGAGTTCAAACACCTTCACTCCAGATTAGCTATAGAGCTGTTGTCTTCAAAGAAAGAGATGCCAAACTCATTGCAAGTCATTCTAGTCCTGCTTATCACTGAACAATATACTGATGCTGGTCCTTTGATGTCATTAGTCATATGCACCTGCTTAATGTTTTGTTGCCTCAGCAACCTTGTTACATCAAAATAACAACCTGATTTGGGAACAATTTCATGTTTCATTTGCCAAAAAGAGCAGTTACATTCCAAAAAGATTAGATACAAGGAAAATAGCTAACACCAAAGGGGTAAGCAAGGCACTGCTTTATGAATAAGCAAAGAACTGAGATACCCAGACTCTGATTTTGTCCCACCTACTTTACCTGACCACAGTCCTGCAGCAGCACTTCAGAGCTAAGTCACCTTAGTTCCTGTTGTTTTAGACAGCTCATTGCCTGACACATTGATGCAAAAGTGCCGACAAGACACACAAGAAATACTGTTGTGTTATCATTGGAAATCAAAAGGAGCTTCTACCAAAAACTCCATCCACAGTTGAGACCTTCACAATAACAGGGTTTACTGTTTCTTTGACAAAATGCTTCCCATCCACAAAACAGCCATACCCTCATTGTTACACTAGGTGTATCCTGCTTTAAGGGTAATTACATTTCAATAAGAAGACATGAATAAGCAGCTAAATCACACCTTGGTTCCAAGTAAGGGATCTAGGATGTTGCTTATAGGGTGATTGCAAATCAACTCAGCTGTTTGTAATCCACAATTATGTGGCTTTAAAAAAAAAAAAAAAGTTCATCTTTTTTTGGGTTGTTTTTTTAAGGAATTTGCAGGATTTCAGCAAATTAGGAACATGTTAAAACCACAAGTGATAAGAAACTAGTATCACACATCCTATGTTTGCAGAGCCACAGAATCCACCCCCATTGTTGCTGAAGATAAGGACCATGGGAACTACAACATGTAAAGCAAAAGCCACAACCACCACATCCCTCACATAAGCACTTATATATCATTTTGGGAAAAATCAGGCATTCAAAAACACTTTAAGAAGTATTGTTGGCATAATGAGCATTATCATACATTCACATAAATGCATCCTATGCAGCGATGTGTGCCAGAAGGGTTTTGAAGCACCATGATGCTTTGTTTCAGTCTCTTTGAGTTTGGAGTACCAAAAAGGCATAAGGCCAGTCCACCTTGGTGCACTGGCTTCTATCCAGTCTAGCTGAGCATGTGTGGAAGGACCCACACACAAAACCCCCATCCCATTAGAAATTACACCAACCAGAACCCCTACCCACAAAACAACACACACCAAAACCCACAAGTGAATTTGGTCCAGTTTTCCCCTCCTTTCCCCTCTCTTACTCTCCATGCCCCTGCAGACACATAGACAACTCTCTTTAAAAATGCACCTCACTTTTTAACCTCACTTGGCACTCTTACATCATCCAATATGGCAACTGCTTGCTCAAAACCAGGGCTGTGTTTCCCCATGCACACCCAAGGCCAGCTTTGCAGACATAAACTGGAGCTTAAACAAGGACTTCAGGCTGTCATTAAAGGAGTAACTGAAGTACAAGGCTCTAGTCTGTGATGCTAGACCTGCTATAGACCAAATCTCTTGCTCATGTGTCTTTGTAAGCAAAACAGGTCCTTGAAGCACTGAAGAGTCTTGCTTCGCTTCCACAAGCTTTAACAGTTCCAAAGTAGTGCTTTGGTTCTTCATGCTCACGAATAAACAGTGTTTCCCTTCACTCCCATCCCCAGTTAACAGGTAAACAAGACCCAACACAACAATACACAACTCCACAGTTACAAAAAGCCATATAACTTGCTTTTCTGGAGACAGGACCAGAATCAACCTCACTCTTCTCCAATTGGGTCAAACTTCCTCTCTGTAAGGCCCACCATGGACTAGTGTGGGAAGCACATGCTAACAGCAATACTGACACCCAGTATAAGTAAACTGAAGAAGTGGTGAGGGCCATGAGACTGGAGATTAATGGTTCTAGAGCTTACTAATGGCTCTATGATAGCATAAATATTAAAGGTAAGACCTTAATTAGGACATAAAATGACCACTGTAAGACACATGCTAAGTTATACGTGAATTATTGCAAGCTTTGGGTCACACAGAAGATACAGAAAAAAAAATGTCTTTGCTTAAAACAAACCCTGAGAAAGAACTGTTCATGTATAAAACAACCAATACTTGTGATTACCATTCAACAGTACCTTACCTTTCCAGGAGAGACTTTTCCCTTCTTCAAGTTCTGGAATGATTCCTATCAACCCAAACTCTGTTAAAACAAAAAAGAAAAAAGCTATTACTAGAGCAACCTTACTCTTATATAGCCTATCACAGAGTGGATTGATGATTCCCACCAGCTGGCCACAGACTCCTGCTAATGCAGCCCATTGAAAAGCAATCTCCTCTTTTAAATCTGGGTGGAAGCCAGCCTTTTGCTTTAAGGGTTTCTTCCGGAGCAGAAGGTTGTGTAGGTTTGACAAACCTGTTTGCCTGAAACAGGCAAACCCCATCACCTTGTAATTCATGACTTTATGTTACTACACTGGGCAAGAGGCATTAAGCAAGCTGCGCAGATGAAGTTTGTGTCGCAGTGAAGGTTTACACATGCTCTCACAAGTGTTTCAGAGCATCCCTAAGTAGTTCATTGGCAACTTCACAAGCTCCTCACAGTGAGGTCATTACTCTGCATTTGCTGTTTTCCACAGATGTGAACCAGGATGACATCAGGATCGGCCCCAAGCTGTCTTCCCATCCACTGGCGTGGGCCAAAAACCCCAGTCCCTGGGGTGCTCCACTCCATATGGGAAATGAGATTAGTCTGGGTCAAACAGTCAAGAGAGGGACTGCTGTCCTGTCTTCACAAGTGAAGGCTGCTTTTGTAGCCACTTAGCTTCTTAGACAAAGATAAATGAACAGTATTTCCAAGCATGCTCCATATGAAAAAGGATTGTCTCTTTAAATATACAACAGATAGGAATAAACATTTTAAGATAAGCACACTTTCTATAGGTCTTTTTAAAGCAAAATGAGCCTTGCATTAGCATTCGCCAAACTTTATTTACATGGGGAAGACTTTAAAGAAACAACCCAATGAAAATTAGAAACACAGGCTGAATTTTTATCAAACCAAAAGACAGGATTTGATCCCAATCATTTGGGGCAAGATGGGTTGGTAAGCTATTTACATGTCCCTGAAAAACCCAATCATTGATTTAAGTTATTCATTTTTTATAATATGTATATATTATAATATAATACTATTATATTATTATGATTTTAATTATCATATTGTTGGTGTAAAGCAGGTAACTTTAATGTTCATGCTCTGTAGCAATCTTTCTTTGGTGCTGCCTTTGGACTTTTACCAATGGTGAAGATACCAGGAAACCCAGGTTCCCTACCACTAATGATACCAGCAGTTGATCCATTCAGCAGTTCCTTGCTCTCTTTTGGGTGTCCTGATGTCCTCAGCTGAAGCTGGTGAAGCAGAGCTATGACCAATGATCTCAAGAGCTGAAAATATAGTTCAGCCCATCTACAACAAAGTAAGGACAAACACAGTTCAAACGTCTAGCTACTGCCAGAAGCCTGAAGAAACTGATGCTAACCAAGGATGAAACCAGTTTGATCAGTCTCACCTTATACCCCATTGTAGGGCTTGATCTGAAAAACACCCTCCACTCCCCCCAAAAACCCCAACCAGTGAAACTTTAAATATGGACATCAGTTCCTCAGGAATATGCGCAATGAATATTCAACAGACCCCAAAGCACTTTGTGCCTTTGCCCAGAACCAAATGTTTTTCATTCATTATGTGCATGGATTTTTCTGCTGCTAATGTTGGGTTTAACTCCTAAATTGTGGATAGTGTTTATATGGGCAGGTGGCAAAACAATACATGAAGGAATGACCTCTAAAGCTGCAAAGGGACATTAGGCATCCACCTGCTGTTGGAAGTCAACCACACCACTGCCTCTCATGCCTCTTTAAATCTATCTTGTGACACAGCCAGAAGAACCTGATCTACACACAGTATCTCAAAGCCAAGACTTAAACTATGTGCTATGTTTTACCAGGATAAAGATCTACCAGGGTACCAGCGGAGAGGTTTATGTTTGCAGTCAGAGGAGAAAAGCAATAGGTTTAAAGATTGACTTCAAACAAAAATAAAACCTCTTGTGACAGTACTGCGTTGGGAAATCAATTTTAACCTGTCTCTGCTAGGTATGATGTACTCCAAGAGAGAGAAAGCAACTTTGCAGACAATCCAGGCACCTGATGACTTCCCATGTCTGTTGTACATTGTACTATATGTAAGTGTGTAGCATAATGTGTTGATTGGCAAATAGTCTTACAGCAATTCTGCATCTTTGTATATTAGCTACAAGGCTTTGTCTGCTCAATGACTTTGGCTTTGTGCTGCTAGTCACAAGGTTGGCTTTCCACTAGAGCATAATGCCAGTTTTGTTACCTTGCTTTATGGGGCAAAAGCTAATCCTACTCCCGACCCTTTTATTTTCCCTTTATAGCAAGAAAAGTCTTTTCCACTGTCCTGAAAGCAAATTCCCTATTCTCTGTCAGTCCCCTCCTCCCATGTATTAGGTTTCCCATCCATCATCCATCATCCACACCAGTAGAGGCAGATCCATGGATGTGCTGCTCCTCACTGAGGATTCACACAGTTCATCTGAGTACAAATGAAGCATTTTGAGATTCCAGCCAATGCACGTGGCTGGCCTGCTTAGCTTAGCAATAAGATAATGGCTATGGCAGCCTCACTTGCAGTGTACAGGGCACCATGGGCTCTTCCAGGCTCAGCTTCCACCTGCTCTGTGGTTTTCAGTTACCAATTCCATTGCTGTTTCCATTAACCAGAAAAGAATCTGCATCGCTTTCTTATGACTGGGTTGGTCCTATACGATCCTAGCTATACCTGTGCATTTGTAAAACCTCATTTCTAGCCCTTTCATTCAATTATTCTCATCTCCCAGCTCTTCAAGTCTCCTCATGCTGCTTGATGCCTACCTGAGCCTCCTTTTCTGATTCTTGACATTTCCCTGCCTCTGTTGTTGGTCATAAAGTGGGATTCAAAGCACTTGGTGCCATCCAACAACATGTTAGTCCTAACACTTAGGTTATATAGCTCTGTGAGCTGTGCTTGCACTTATGGGAGAGCACGATCACCTGCTGTTCCCCCAGATCAGTGGTCCATCAGAAGGGGATGTCCTGGTTCTGGGGTTGCTCCCAGATGTTATATCCCTGTGTGATGCAGTTTTGAAGGAAGAGGCATTAGCTACCATGGAGAACTTGAACTTTGAGCACACACAGGACAGTGACAGTGCAGCAAGGCTCCTGCCTGGCCCTCTGAGGTGATTTGGCCAGCTGTTGTTGAATTCAGGTCTGGCTCCGGACTCACCTTGATAGTGGCACTTCCATCTGGTCTGTGTGCAAGGAGCTGATGGTGCTGGGACTTCATGGACACCAGGGTCTGCTTTCAGGTTCTCCAGTGCTGTTTTGGGGAACTTCTGTTCCTTCACTTGATGGGTTGAGCCCTTGCATCAGAAAACAGAGGTCTTGTCTTGACCCTGCTCTATTCCCCTAGCAAAAAGGGACCCCAGTGTCAACACTGGCGTCAGACAGACTCCCACACAGCACTGCAGGGGAGAAGTGCTCTCCTGCTGCTGACCCTTTGGAGCCTGTTGTTGGTTTAAGTGCTGTTCCCCAGCAAATACCTGGGAAAAGCCTGTGGTTTGGATGCATTGCTGGAAACAATCTGTAGATGTTTCCATCTCTTTTTGTTACAGTTTGCTGGTCACACAAATCGTATTGTTATTGCACTTGTAAAACATCTCATTATCTGCTTTGGAACATTACCACCAGCCCTGCCCTCGGCTTCTCCTACCTGCTGAGGGCAGAGAAAGAGAATTAAGTGAAATGCTCTGATTCTTCCAGGAAACACACATCCGAAGCCGATGCTCTTACCGGGATGCTGAGCAGCTCTTTGTTTGTTATTCCTCTGGAAACCTTTGTCTTCTTTCCAATAAAACACTTTCTGTCACAGGTTCGCTACGCTTCCCTAAGACCAGGGCACTGGTTTTCATTTGTATTCTCTTGTTTCCTGGCCAAACATTGCATTACAACCGGAGAGAGCTTGCAAGAATGTAGCAGCATATTGGGGTGGAAAATAAACATTCTAGGGGCTATTGCAAGTATTTCCAAAGCAAGCAATACACCCTCAGCAGGGTCAGAATTGAAGTTCATCTGAAAGGGAACGCAAACACATGCCTGTTTGAGACAGCACAAATAAGGTTTCTTCTACAAAGCTCTCTGCGCTGTGGGGTGGGGGAGCTGCTGCTTACAGCACGACAAAAGGTGGGGGCCCTATTAAGATACAGTAAGATATATTAAGATATATGTTAGGGACTGTAGTGACAGGACAAGGGGTAATGGGTTCAAACTTAAACAGGGGAAGTTTAGATTGGATATAAGGAGGAAATTCTTTCCTGTAAGGGTGGTGAGGCACTGGAATGGGTTGCCCAGGGAGGTTGTGAATGCTCCATCCCTGGCAGTGTCCAAGACCAGGTCGGACAGAGCCTTGGGTGCCATGGTTTAGTGTGAGGTGTCCCTGCCCATGGCAGGGGGGTTGGAACTGGATGATCTTAAGGTCCTTTCCAACCCTAACTATTCTGTGATTCTATGAATCTATATTAAGATATATTAAGATCTATTAATATATTAAGATATATTAAGATACATCTGCCATGTAGCACTTCTGTCTGCATAGATCAGCTGCAGCAATGTGGCCACTCAGCCCCTCTGCCTTGGCCTCGTTGGTCGAATATGTTTAATTAAGATGCTAAACCCAATTAGGAATGGATGTTTCTCACATGGCTAACTGCTGATGTGCTGCCAGTGGAGCGTGTACATGTGGACCATCAGCTATTTTAAGGACAAATCCCCCCCCCCCCCCCTTCAAGTCCCCCTGGACAATTCCTACCTTATCTGACAAAAGTCATGTCAAACTGCTTTAGTTTGGTTGACCTATTGCCAGTTTCTCACTCAATGCTCTGCTATAATGTGATACACCAGACCTCAAAGAAATGCTTGTATCGATTATGTGCATGTAAGCTGTTAAAAACAGCATGGTTACCAAGGAAGACACACAGGCTAGGCTAGTATAAGATATTTGCTAATACAGTTATCAGCCAGGCAACACCAACATCGATTTTGGTAGTCTCTTCACATGCTTCTTGGTGGCAACTTGCACTTTTTCCCTGGGGATCAG